CCCTTTCCAGCCCTTTTTTGACCCTTTCTATTTCTTTCTGCTCATCGTTTTTTGCGCTTTTTTCGTTGTTATCGCTTTATTCTAGAGTAGTTCTATGAGTTCCCGTCAAAAAAGGTCTTTGAAGGATGGGAGCTCAGCATAATTAATTGCCTTGATATTCTGTATGGTGGTGACACGCATAAAAGTAAGTGTCACCACCATACAGAATATCATGGCATTATAGACACGAAAACGGAACGGCATCGCACACACACTACCATATCTGGGTGCGATGGTTTCGCTCTTCTTTTCATCATCATTCTAGTTTACGTTATACGCTAGTCGTGTACGTTAGTTTGTCGAAGTGTGTGTTTGTATGCGAAGTGTGTCGGTGGGTGCTGCGTGTCAGTGTGTGTGCGTCGATGTGTATGTGTGTTTGATCGAGAATTAATGTCTCGTGTCTCCCTAATCTCAGGAAGCCTCAATATGGAAAGGATATAGGCAGTAGCACGAGAACGATGGAGGCATGTAATATGTAAGGTTGTAACAATTACAAGGACTGAGAAGGAGGCTTAAAAGGCATGAATCTCTGAATTCCTCAAGAGTGCGCGTTTTATGTTAACAGAAGAGCGTTGGCACTGTGAGTGAGTATCGAGGCTTGAATGGGCACACTCGATTGCGATTGCTCAACTACGAGAGTTGGTGCGCCAGTAGTTCCAACAGAGGAACGACTGAATTCGAGGTTGACGAGTTTCGTTAGCATAAGCGATGAATGTAGTTCCCCAATTTGATCCACAAGGTCCTCCTTAATTGAGGTCGTTCCCCTTCGCGAATTTTATCGTCAGAGGTGCATTATTCTCGCACGAGAAATTATAGGCATCCATGCATTTCGAATTCTCATCAGGAAGGTGGTCAGCTTGGCGTAAGCCAGACTTCTGACTGTTAGCTTCATTATACGCTTCCGCTCGTGCCTTGAAGTTCCAGGTCGCCAACTTAGCCCTCCTTTTGAACGATCTGTTAGGACCCTGGACTTTTTGCAGCTCCTCAGTAGACTCTATCCAACGCTACCGTACTGAGCGCTGCTTCAGTTTCAGAAGATTAAAGCTCGTTCCTGCTATCAGGGTGTCCACAAAGTTTGAAGACAACTCAGTCGGTTTATTTACAACAAGATAATTACGTAGCCCAATAGCACGGATCTCGACAACATGCTCATTCACGCGACGTATATTCGAGCGTTATCTTCAGCAGTCGGAAACTCTTTGTAATCGATGGGCTTCTTTCACAAAGGGTTAGGTCATGTCCTCCTCGGCGTGAATGCTTAGCTTCACTCGCACTCAACGCTCGTACTCAGTTGGGGGACGGGGCGGGGCGGGGTTACTACAGGGAGTGTTGAAGAGAAACAACTTTTACTGAGATTGTCTTGGATGATGGAAGGAGAGTAGAAATTGATCTTTCCCTTACACTCGAAGCTCAGAGAAATCGCTCTGAATCAAGCCTAGAACAGTCGGTAATGGAAGAGAACGTCGAGGCTATTCTTTGCTCAGGAGAAGCAACCGTGCAACCTGTCGCTGGGGCAAGGGGGTGGGGGTGCGCCGCAGAAGATATCAGCACTTCTACGCGCAGCTTACATTCTAGTTGTAACTTATTCTGACGCTTCGTAATCGTGGATGTTGAATCGTGATGATGGCTCGTTTTGCTTAAGTTTGGACAGTTACTCCCGTTGATGTAGAGGCAGACCTTCTTAAGATTCTTCTCTTCCCGCAGCTCCATCTTCCGCTGCCGCACAGTATCGTGATCTTTGCTCTGAAGACTGATCACTTTAGAGAAATTTGAACAGAATATGGTCTACACCTGCCTTGATTTTTTGCCATGGTAGCTCCCCAATCATCCACTCTAAGACCATATACCACCACGACTCCACGTCGTCTTTTCGAGACTGCTCTTTCTGGAAAGAAAAACCTGCTCAAGAAGTAAGTGCTTCATAGAAACCCGAGAGGGAGTTTGAGGCAGCTTACCAATTCCAAAGCGCTAATGCTAGCGTAACGCGTTGTGCCTCGGAACATAACTTTCTCACGTTCGTGCCGCAGATCGTTGTTTTCTGTTCTGAAAACAGCCTTCTGAGTTCAGATGTGGGAGAGATATACAGAGGAGTTCCATGCATACTCTGATCGAGACCTCACTTCAAAAGTTGCAGAATGCAATTTTAAATTGACCGTTTCCGCATATCAACTCAGAAAATCTAATTTCTGAATTGAAGCAATCTGGAAACCTGTGTGCTCTTTTACAGTCCCGACAACCTATTTTTAGGTTGTTGTATTACCTGTTTTCTGATAGAAAGACATGAAGCCATCAGAGAAAAGGACTCTCGCAACCTAACAATATTTTTGCATTCCTACATGATCTTCTCCGCCCATTTTGTGTCGACTGTAACGCTAGATTCGCAAGCTGTAGAATGGTCACAAAGTATAGGATCCTTGTCGTGAGAACGTATCTATGATGTGATCAGTTGGCCATATTTTCAACCCTCCATCAAAAGTTGAGGAATAGGATGAAGTTGGAAAGGTATTCGGAACTTCTTTAAACAGTATTTTGAGCGGAATTGATAATGCGTACCAATGGTGTCCTGATTGGATCGTTAGTATTGAAATGTTCGAGTATTGGAATATTTACCATTGTTTTTGTGGCTAAAATGTCAATGATCCGGATGATCCAAAACATCCAATATCTTGGTCTAATTCAGATGGTAATGAAGTATTTACGAAAAGAACCGTCATGGCCAGAGGGCTTCACTGCGTACAGACCGCTTTCTGGACATGCTGTACTATACGGTTTTTTTNGGGGGGGGGGGGGGGGGGGGGGGGGTTTCGCCGATTTTCGAAGTCGGCCATAAGTAACAATTTTCAAGAAACAAATTCCTACATTAGGCAACAGATACTCCGTTTTTTTGCGAGCGTAATTTGTGTAGGGGCAAGTAGCGCACTGTATCACACGCACGGTCACGAACAGTCGAATTTGAAACATTGAGCCTTTCCACTGTTTCTTCGATGTTCCGTTCCCTTTAACATTTTACTCGCCCTTATCAGCTGAGTATGGTCCCCACGTTCGTTGCCTATTTTCGAAAGTGGCTTGCGTTGGAATTTCGAAAACCACTCATGCACTGTATGTACATTCTGATATAGCATTGCCTCCTCACGTATCATAACGTCCGACTACATGTAATTTGCCAAGTGTGTCTGTTGATTTATACGTGTCGGCCTGTGTTTGACCTGGCTGAGAACTCTTGTTCTCGTAGACCCAGAGCCTTCAAACATGGAAGGAGTACAGGCGGCATCATGAGAGCACTTACAGTAGGTGGCAGGCTCTGCCACAGGTGACAGGGCGTGCGCGAGAGAAACGTTTGACCGTGAATCAAGAACCCCTGTTATCCTAGCTTTCGAGCGTTCGAACTCGATAGTAGTACAGGCCTCAGGATGGGACAAACATGGTGGGTGATAGGAAAAGATAGCAACTGATGGGAGCTGACAAGAAGATTATGAATTGATATTAGCTGGTACTGATAACGAGCAGGAAAACGCGAGAGCCACTAGGTCTGTAAAGCCCTTCGTGTAACAATGTAGCCCTGGCATATTTGGGTGCTCGGTGTCAGGAAATGATAACAACTGATAAGAGCTGAGAAGGGACCTCAGAGAGCAAGAGCCACCTATCAATTCAAATCCTAACGCTTCCGGTATTTTCTACGATGAAGCTTTGACTCATTAGTATGTTTTATTCGATAAGATGATATGACGGAGTAGGATAACTGAAAGTGCGGGGAATGCGGGGATAGGGACCGATTTAAGTTACACTATATCGTGAGAAGATGAAAATTTAGTTAATTCTGACCATTATATCTAACCGATTCTCGGCAAGATTTGTGACTCAGAAAGGGATAACAGCTCCTCTCTGTTTCGATACCGTTTGCAACAATCCTTATCCGATCGCCATAATCTGGAATTTCCAACTAATATATATGTACTGGTTGTGAGGAAAGTCTCCGCCGATTTTTGGGTCATCTTTGAAAGAAAGCTTTCAGGAGAACGTCCATTCATCAAACAACATATCGTCCATCCTGTTCACTGAAAGTTGGCCCCTCTTCTATCAGTTTCATTATCCCACTTTCGTAGAAGGTTCTAGATTTAGAATCAAAAAGCCCTATCAGGTGCTTTCTGCAGTCCTCTACTAGATTGGACGATTTTTCATTCAAAATATTTCGCAGAAACCTAAAGAAAAGGTAGTCTGATAGTGCTATGTCTGGACTATATGGTGGGTGTGATAGATATCCCACCCAGGCTCCAGCCATTATTGACGAGCGACCAAAAAGACGTGTGGTCTGTAGTTATCCTGTCGGAAGACAGCGCCTTTACAACTGGCCACTTCTGGGCGCTGCTGGTATATCGCTGCCTATAAAATGTTTAGCTGATTGAGAGTACAGTACCTCTCCAAACATCGTTCGACTATGCGGCAATAGCTCATAAAAATGATTCGTCTCTAATCCCACCTGCAATATAGCATTATCTTTCTCACAAGGATTTTGACTTTTGGAGTAGTTTGGGACGGTTCCACGATCGTTCCCGCTCCCGTTGTTGTACACGAGCCAATTTTCGTCATCTGTTCACATGAGTTTCGAGCACAGCCTTTCTTTTTGGCAACGAGTCGCACTTGAAAGCGCGTTCCGTCATATTGCGCTCGCTCAGTGCGAGAGGTACCCCCAAGTTCCAGCAAATGATCATGGATGGTAGATTTCGGAACATTCAGTCTTCTTCTCGCGAATATGATTTGCCGGTTTAATACTATTAATATTTTGATTTGGTCGTTTTCAATTGGTGATAGCCTTTCTAAGCGTTGCCGGCTTTCGAGGGCGAATTCACCCTGTTTAAATTTCGCGAGTCACTCGCGTGCTGTACTTTCCCCTAGAGCATGTCTATTTGAACGTACCAAATCTTTCTCGCGTTTTGAGCCGCATTCGCTGGCACCGCAAATGCACGCGATGATCCTCATATTTCACACGGTTCCTTTACACACAGGCTTGGAGGAATGTTAACAGAACTCGAACCAGGATATAGAGGAGGGCTTATACTTCCAGAAAATATATATAATTTTTTGATTTAGATTCTTGATCTTTTGTACAAAAGTTGTTAAACCCGGGGTGTCAAACATCGGTGGAGACTTTCGGGACAACCCATAGAAACAAGTTCCATTCCTTTAAGGACATCTGACAATAGTGTTGTTATCACTCAACATTTGTATGTGCTATTCAAGGCTTTGGTTGTCTAGCAGTCGAATCAACCACGGGTGATTGTGTCAAAGACGAAGAAAAGCGGAGATAGGTGCCTTCAATCGTAGGCATGAGCATCGGCGCATACTGAATACTTCTTGCACTGCTCTATCATATTTCAGCCACCAAGAAGTATTGCTCGTTTCAAAGTATGAGTTCAGTTGAACGTTTCAAAGAAGTGATCATAGCCATAAGCAGATGGGAAGCCTCCTTGTCCGGAGTCCTGCGTTGCCGGACGATCCGACCGTAGCCTAATAGCCTCCATGCGAGGTTTTGTTAGTGTATGGGACAAGGAGTACAGTGCACGAAGAGCACAAGCACTAGTTCTGTTCCCGTTTGAGGCTGAGGTTTGTCGCCACCCCGTCAGCCTTGTGAGGACTATCACATAACTTTTTGAGCCTGAGCTGCACTTTTGCATTTGCGGTAGAAGGAAAGAATAAGGCGACGAGATTGTTCTCGATCGTCCTTCGCTTTATATCGGCTCTACACGAACTGAACTTCGGAGTGATGTTTACCTTTTCAGAAAATTTATATACATATGTTCAGGTTGTATGGGAGAGTTTTTGAATTTTCATAAATTGAGTGCATCCGAAATTTGACGGTTACTTTCCAAACGACTCAATTATTTTGCAATTGCATCAACAGCCCAAGAAGGATTGATTTAACTACTCACCTATATTTCCTGGACAGACCAAAGTCTATTATGTAGATCGTGTGCAAATCACCGTCCTCTTCACGTCCGATTGCGAAATTTGGAGGTTTTATATCACGATGTATATAGCCACACTGAAACAGCATTAATACATGAATAGATAATTTATTTATGCTCACTCCGTTCATTCTATTGATTCATTGTTCCGGAATTTAGCCAGAGTTGGACGCGGTCAAATGTGGTTGAGCACTCGGTGACCTCCACAACAAGGAAGTGAGCGCATCAAAGAGATATATGTAGATGAGGGAACAAAAGGTAGCATCAACACAATCTACGCCCAATTGTACTCGCAAGCAGTCATTGATGGCGAGGCTCTTTTGTCCTGCCAGCAAAATGAGTTGGCAACTTAAACTTGTGGAGATTTGGACATCGGTAAAGGAAATTTCGATCAACAATCAGTTTTTTCTATTTAGCAGTCGAGCAGAGCCCTGCTTACGTAAGCCCTTCGCCTTCCTGTTACAAAGTTACAATATTGAAATGCACGGTAAACCCTCCACCTCACTTCTAGATACGAATGATTCATTGCCGGCGACTCGAAGCGAATTCATCTTATCTGCGTGCACTACAAATTGGAAGCTGATTCGATACAACTATCGCATAAGCTTACGAAATTACCACACAGTGACCTTACCCATAAAAGTAACCAATTTCTCTCTCTCTCTCTTTTTTTTGTCTAATAATGGCCCGACTTTTCTGCAATTAAGCAATTTGATAAGCCTACCGGAGACTTGAATAACACTCACCAATGTGTCAATGATGTGGAGAACAGAAAAGTTGAATTTCCGGTGAAATATACTTGCATAGTACATGCCGACACGCACTCCGACACCCACCGAAAGACATGCGATGACACACACACGCATGCACTCATACCCACACCTCCACACTCACACACACGCATAACGAATTACCATAAATAGTAGGATTCAAAAGTGGAACACGTCATTGTATTGTTGCACATAATTGTCGTTTCCTTCTGAAAAGAACACTTACTAGATGCAAATCTCGTATTCCAGCAAGTGTCTGTTCGGCAGCTCGAATTGAGGTGACCATCGAGAACTTACGTTCTGGACTTTTAATACGCAGATCCCAAAGGGTACTGCCAACCTGCAACGAAGACGAGTGTTTTTCTTGTGATGTTTGAGCCAATAGAATTCTTCAACAACAAGTTAGCTTTGTCGCTTGCCGTTCTCTCTACGGGTTTTTAGTGAAAAGTGGGAAAATCGCCTCTATCCAATGGTTTCTAGTACTTTGACACATACAATTGTGTCTCGACGCTACTTTGACACATGCAATCATGTCTCGACGCTACTATTCGAATTCATTTCTGTCATGACGGATGGAGTTTTGCACTGCTGTTGCGATACCCTAGAAGTTTTCCTCAAGACATTGGCATCTTATGTGGTTGTTTGTTCTGCTAAATTACGATGGGAGGAAAAATTGTTGATGTTATTCGATTATTCACAACTTCTTATCTTCAAAGGCCTAGAGATAGCTCACCGCGGGAGTGTTTCAACTTCTCGTAGAACTTTTATTAAAGACCTAGCATATTGAATTGATAGAGATTCAAGTGCTGCTTACGAAGAAATCAAGTTGCTAAATGAATTCCGTAAAGAAAGTTAAGAGTCCTTTGAATTTTTTGGTTGTAATTTCACTCGAGGTAGCTGTAGCCCGCACTATACCAACCGTTTCTGTAGTGCAGTGGTAGTGCTATCACCCATTTGGCAAAGGATGCGGGCTCCCCGTCGTTGGCGAGGTTTCCGCACAGCGTGCTTTTTCAGTGTGGTTTTTCATACACTTCCTGATAGCCTTTTTTTTCTGATTCTTCTGGTTCAAGTAAGTGCCTTATTAGGGCGATCGTTACACTCATTGCACCTACATGAGGATAGATCAAAATTTCGCACGTAATTCATATGACTCTACTTTACTTTGAGCTCGGAGAAACATCATTAGAAACATTCCAAAGATGTGTAAGGTGGCTGTGAGGAACTCAACATTGATGAAGAAGCCCGAAAACATGTACGAAGTACGCAAGTTTTTCACAAACACACGTTTTATACATGCTGCTTCTCTACAATCGGAGACAAACTAGTCATTGTCCCCAAAACTGAACAAGTATCGCCAGGAGTGGCACAGAAGCCCAGATTCCCACCAATATATCCTGCATTATGCCGAGAGTTTCAAGAAATTTGGGAGCGAGGTGCACAGAGCATTTCTTTTAGGTTGAAAGAGGTCGAAAGATTCGTCGAAAGGGACATAGCCTAACGAATCGATATATCGCCCTCCCGCCGCTTTGTTTTGACGGCAATTTGGGAAAAGGGTTGGATATTGTCCTCCGAGAACAAGAAGCCCACTTCAACACTCCAAATAAAGAAGGCAGAGCGGGCACAGAACACATGGTGCTAATGGTTGACTGGGTAGAGATAAGGAATGCTTAACATGAAGTGCACCGACATGTAGACTCGTGGTCCCTGCTCGATACCGACACAATGAAACAAGCTGTGCCTGAGGTGTATATCGGAACTTCATGACCGATTGAAGCGGTGCGCTTCGATTCTTTACGAGCAACTCAATACACTCACTACACAATGCGAAGATAAAATTCACAAAATCCCTACCCGTGCTATAGCAATGATTCCAACATTTATTCTTCTTCTTCGGTCCTATTAGGATTGTTATAAACACGATGGGATTCGGAACTATGAGAAGCAATTTTTAATGTTAACGATTTTAATGTGACACAAAGGGACTATACTTAGGGAATATCACAAGAATAAGAACTTATTTAACATCTTGGCAACAGGTTTTAAAAAAGTCTTATAACATCAATCACAAGTATATAGAATGCTTGTGCACCTCGTTCATCAAATTTTTTGAAATGCTCTTGGCATTGATGAGAGCCCAGGTTTTTTTACTTTCGGCGAGTGTCCGTTCAACACTGGGGCGATTGGCTGTTTTGTCCGTTTATAGAAGAGCAACATGTATAAGGTATGCAATTTGCGAACAATCTGTGTGCTTCACAAGTTTCCAGGTTTTTCAACAGTGTTGAGTTCCTCACAGGCATCTTATACATCTCTGACATCTTTCTGTTAGACGTTTCTAAAGTTTAAAATAGAACATAGAACAATAAAATAGAACAGAACGAAAGAATACTGTGCGGAAATCTCTACCACGACCGGGAGCAATCCCGCCTATACAATTTGAGTACATCCCATTCTGTCTTGAATAGATGCGACAAGAACACTTAAGAGCAGGATTTCGCGTTCGCTCTAATAAATGTCATAAAATTTTGAAAACCGCAAACAGAACGCAAGAATACTGTGCGGAAATCTCTACCACGACCGGGAGCAAACCCGCCTTCTCCGTATCTAAAGCGAGGACATTGCCACGTAAACGATTGATATTGTGGTGAAGTGTTTGACTCCCAATTAACAATACCGTCATGCGCATTTCGAACCCCGATTACCGTCATACACCTTTCCAGCAGAAATTTTTTTGGGAAGGCCATCTTGCTGTTTTGCTTTCTATACGAGTAAACAGCATTCGAACTCTTGGTTTCGTTGTAATTAAACTACTCCTCCCCGGTTAAGTGGGTGTTAGCAAACAAACCCGATTGCAACTCGACGAGAATGAAATAGCTGTAATCGATGCTTACATCGAGAACTCATATTAACTAACCAGCTTCATCACGACAAAAATAAATCGAGATGGCAGTCGTCCTCGATCTTCGAGCGTGATAAAGTGAGGCGAATCTATTCGACGTAAGCTTTCATACACTTTAGCTTCATGCTGTAAAATCTGGAAAAGGATCCAATGAACATCTCTCAAGGTTGGCGAGTTATGGACAAAACTTCTCAGAAGCCACAATAACTATTGTTATTACCCTTCTGAGGCGCGGCGCGTGAAATGGCAGGTATGAATAAATAAATAAAGAACTCGGGAATCTTGTAAGACTATCGTATCGGTTACTGCGGCGAAATACCAGCAGGTAAAAAACGTCATTCAAAGCAAGTTATCAAATGGACAACTTGA